AGAGAGACAACCGTAGATAAAGTGCCTTGCCCAAGGACACAAGCGACTTGCACAGCGAGAGTTTTGAACCCCCGACCTCGAGGTTGGGAGTCCAAACCACAACCGATGCGCCAACCACTTCTACATAAATTCCATGCAAGTTTACAATATACAGTATAAGATGTTATACATTATTGCATAGCTGTGATAATGATGCATATTCATGTTTTGTAATGATCAGTGCAATAATCAATTTCCATTGTTACCTTGGCCTTGTCTTCAGCTTCTTGTTTCACCTTGGCTAACCTTTCAACTTCCATAGCTGCTTCTTTCTCCTAAAGAAAAAAACATGGTAACATGAAATGCAGGGATCGCCCAAAACTGCACTTCCAATCCAAATTTTAGTAACTAAATACATGAGATTTATTTATTAAACTTTGAACTTTAAACTTTGAAAATTTTGAACTTTGACTGTTCACTTACCTTTTTTCTTTCAATCTCGACCGCTTTGATTGCATCTTGCTTGGCTTTCTTCTCCGCAGCCTTTCGTTCTTTTTCGTCTTCTTTAAACTTCTTTATCCTTGGATCACATGCATATGCATTATCTGTGTAACAACAGGGAGTGGAGTTGTTTTTAGTCGTAAGAAAAGTCCTGTAGTCACAGGAATTGAACCCAGGACCCTGTGATTAGAAGGCAAGCATCTTAACCACTGAGCTATTCAACCACTAAGCTATTTCCAAATCCATTGATGATTGAATGCAATTTTAGTTGGATCTGTTTATTACAGTAATCTGGCTCATTCTGGATTAACTTCAGGATTAATTAAGGGCCCGTTAGAGCAAAAAACGGCAATTGTATTCTGTTAAATTCACCGGTTAATCTAGCTGAGCACTACTCCAAAGGTGAAAAATTTCAAAGAACATCAACACTCATTCTTTGTTTACTTTCTAGCTGCTATACTCAGCCCATATACCCCACAGTGCGGTACACGGGAACGAGATCTGAGCTCAACAGTTTATAATTGCTGCTTTAAAATCTGTATGTATAGGCTAGTTGATTCAAGATTGTTTCTTGTAATAATGGTAAATCCACAAGTTGAACACGTAGCTATGATATACTAGCCACCATAGCATGTGGTGGCTAGTAGTAGCATGTGAGGAGAGGAAGGAGAGCGCGACAACAGTGGGTTCTAGCTGAATCCAGGCCTGGGCCGTAACCCTATTGAATACTATTAAGGTTGATTTATCTCCGGCTCCATGGTCATCCTATACATGGGATGCTACCCAGCAAATTTGGTGGTCAAAATTGTCAAGGATAATCCAGATGGTAAGGTAATTAGGCAAGTGTCCGAGCGGTTTTAGAAAGTATGTACCGGTGAACCAACCAGAATATCACACAGATATTTTTTCGCTCGAACAGGCCCTAAGATTATATAATTATTCTGTAGCTTACCAACAAGCTGTCTTATTCTAACAACTTCTTCTTTCTTTCGTTTTTGACGTTCCACTTTATTCTGCTTCTCAATCCACCTTCTCTCTTCTCGGTTTTCCCCCTTTTCTTTTTCCTCTTCATCCAAATAAGAAAATTCTCTCCAGGACTGAAAATTGTACCTACAATTAACAGAAGTCAACAAATAAGTTTAGTTTATTGATATTACAAATCAATCTAACTTCTTGTGTGTATAATAGAATTACAACGATGATGACAATGATAATAAAATAGGATATTAAGAGAATCTTACTTTAACAAATGATAAAAGGCACATACAACATTAAAAAAACAAAACAATGATTTGATATCTTAATCTTTTTCACCAGAGAAAATTGAAAGTAGAATTTCTATGGCAATGCTGATATTAAGGATTCTTTTCAGCTGTTACTTGCTGCTGTTGGATGTTGTCTGCACCACAGCAGGTTATCAGCAACATCAAATAATTTTAATTAAATATAATCTTGGCCTAGTTATGCAAAAACATATTGTTTTCCTTACCAAAAGTTGTAGAAGTTGTTGACTTCATCAAAATTAGAATTTTCACCACCTAAGGCTGGAACTCTTGCTTTGACAGACCATCTGAATTATAAAAAAATAAATATAGTGTACATTTTCCTATTACAATATTAGATTTTAAAAATGTAATTAACAGGTACCATTATTTAGCAGAGTTAATGCAGCATTTACAAAAATGAGGATACACAGACTCATGTCACCTTCTTATTAATGCTTCAGTCCACATACACTGCACCAATACCCCACATCATCAACACAAAGATGTTGGTGCACTAATACACAATTAATACAAATGAAGCTGTAGGTTGGTGAGTCCTTGCTTTCCAATCCCAGGGTCCTGTCAATCCAGGGTTTGCTCACAACTAAAAATCAGCTCCACCCACTAAACCTCATAAAGAGACTTTGTTCATCAGCATTACACACAGTGTGACAACTCACAATTTTTGATATACCCAATGTCTTTAAAGGAAATACCCAAGAACCCAAGACCAAGTCAAAATACCCAAGATCTTGGGTAAATACCCAAGCAGTGGTCACGCTGATTACACATACTGTACAGTTAGTGTAAAGGTAAAGGTAAAAGTAAAGGTAGGAGAATAATCCATAACTTGCAGCGCCATTGTGATGAATTGCGTATGGGCGTGGTAGGTGATTACCTAGCAGCCGTAAAGAGGCGCTTCGTGGTAGCTACAAGTTTACATCATTCCACAACGACAGGGGCTGAAATGAACGATGCAATGGGTTCTTTAAAGTCCACACAATCCAGATGTATACACTGGACCTCCATTTTATATCTTTATCTGAGAAGACTTGATTCTACCAACCGAACCATGGGTGAGGAGCAGCTGGAACCAGCGCCGATGTTAAGGCTGTAGCTAGCGGTGCCCCTGCCTTACCGCTCAGATACTCGACTCGCGGTAAGGCACTGTCAAGTGTATTTGGTTTTGATGAGAAGGAAATTAAAAAAAATACACAGCTTTTGAGACACCTACTTTTTAATGGTTCAGTCAAAAGTATACCTCATCACTATCATACATTATCAACACAAAATGTTTGTGCCTGTTGGTGACCAATAGTCAATATGGCACCTACTGTACAAAAATAGTGGTTAGGTGGGCATATACTCGAATCAGCAGACAATGAGCATAACATACCTGGCATTTTTCTTGAAAACATCTCGGAATACGTCATAGAAATTTTCTTTTGAATTTGCGTTGACACTTGGGATTTCGTTATCAAATTGGGGATCAATACTATCATAGGATTTTCTCTTTGTTGGGTTGCCAAGGATATCATAAGCTGTAAATATAAAAACATAGTAATATACCATCCGAATTTGTTGGTGTCTGATGTGCAAGACAAAAAATGTATATATCACCCTCTATGTAATAATCACGAAATAGGGCACCCTCTAAGTTATTTTTTAAATTGTAGTGGAACTGCTACGGATTACATTTGTCGGTCGGTAGAGCTTTGGTCTTTTACGACCGGTCGGTATTCACTTAATTTTTATGAATTTTAGGATATACGGTAATCAGCCTATACATAAATTTCTATCATTTGTAAATGTTTGTTTATAATGCACGAGACAATAAAACTTAGGCGTGAGACGTAAAAAGTGGATACGCATGCGTGAGACTTACACATTATAAGTGAGAGTTGGCAGGTGTAAAGCTGAATTTGTGCGCCAATACCAAGGTATCCTACTATAATCACCTCCCGAGTTATTCTATTCATTTATTATTTCTGGTGAGACTGTGAGCTTTCAAATACTCTTGTTGTTGCCTTCATTTTAATAATATTTAATAAATAATAAATAATATTTAACCATATTTTCTTTACCTTTTGTAATGCAGGTAAAATAGTCATCATCTTCACTGACCTTCTCAACATGCCCAGTTTTCTTTCTCTTATCTGGATGATGTTTTAAAACCTTGTGTTTATCTGTAATAACAAAAAGTTACCAATCTTGCTATTTTATATGGATAAGTGTTCGGTGATATTTCATAAGAACGATGATGTAATCACCCTAAAGGCCAGCTTAATTGCTCGACTAACACAAAAGTTTCCAACGGCACACAACTGTCTAAGGTACGTCACGACAGATTATGGCTTACAAGAATTTGTAGAAAGGTAATAATAATTGTTTGTTGACATATTTATGTTAGGATGAAAAATGTTTTTTAATACATTCTATATAGAATATAGAATATGTTGTATCATGTTTTGAATGTAAAAAAACAGAGATAATTTGATTCATGAATAAAGAAAAAATTCTCATATTGACAGACTGAATAGACTTTTGCAAGACTCACCACCAACATAGACCTAACAGCCACACCACTTTAACAAACAAAAAAAAACTTTAAAAAATAAAGATGTTACCAAATAAAATGCTTCATCTGAAGAAGAAACTACTGAATGTTAGTATGACTTACATGCTTTCTTGATATCATCTTCAGAGGCCCTGTATCTCAACTTTGAAAGTCCCAGTACTGCATAGTGATCTTGGTCCTGCAATAGGGAGATTGATCATCTGTGCATACAATTAATAACGTGAGGCATGTTGTGGCAAAATGGCTAAGTTTTAGCAAAAATTGAAATTCATATTTAATTAGTACAGTGTATTTTCAGTATTAAATGAAATTGGACAATTCAAGCTTTGGTTATTGGGAAGTGAAAGCACAGCACTCCTAGAGTCAAGATAACATTTAAAATTTGAATGATTGCCGTCCAAAGTTATTTTTGCATACATTGTTTAATAGAATTAACTACCAAAATAACCTTAAATACAGTATATGATTTGTTGATCATTTCCAGAACTACTGTAAGACTTTGGGAAATAATTAATTAGACTATTGGGACAGTCCCACACAATTTTTCTAATGGTTCACAAAGAATGGGTCCAAATTAAAAATGTGTAAAAAATTATGTAATTTTATGCATAAAATGGGTCACTTTTTTGAAAAATGGGTCCTGCTATAGCTCATTTAGGTTTTTATATAGCACTCTATACAACTAAGTCTCAGAGCACTTTTCCACATTATTACCCCAGTCAATGGAATGATGCATATGGGGGAAATTCCATAGTTTGCTGTCATGAAATATATCAACACATTCTGCACTCGAACCACCATATGCATCCATTTATACTCCTGGGTGGAGAGAAGCAAGGCAGCTAAAGTGCCCTGCTCGCGATTTTTTTTCCGTACGAAACATTTGCATGAAACTTCACTCGGGCCATCTCGGATTGACTCGAGTGAGTACGGACGAGGAACAAGAGCAGACACTTCGCAATGTCGTGACGCTCGAGTTTTACTATTATTGCTCTTTCTATGTTTACCTACGGTAGGCCTATGAAATTTCACGGACTTATGTGGTGTACGTCACTGTGTAACTAACTGTGACCATCTTGGATGTTATTAAATGTTAGTATATTATCGACAACAACAACAGTTAGTACCTCCTGTTATACAGTGTAGATAGGTACAGTTATACCAAAGGCTAGAGAGAAAGAGGATAAACTATAGTCCTAACTACAGGCTGAGGTCTTACCTAGGCCCCTCCTTAAACTAGGCCTAGGGTCATAGGCTGACACAACAGTCA